GGAATGCTGACACGCAGAACAGGGGTGCCGGCAACTCCAAGAACCAGGGCTGTCATGTGCACAAAAGGCACGCACGCTGACGCATGCAAGAGAGCAAGGTAACCAGGTAGTGATGCTAGGTACCCGGTGTGTCGTGTTGGATGTAGAGCCAAGGTTATTAAGATGATGCCAACCAGAGGGCTTAGAGAGGGGTTGAGAGTTTCGGGTTTTGGTTGGAGGGTCTCGGAGTTTAGGGTTGGGTGCTGAGCACAAGAAAATGTCGTCCGAAGGTTGATCTTTATCCGGCTTGTACAGGAAGCGTCTTTCAAGCGGTCAAGCAAATATAGTCGCTGTGAGCGACAGCGCCTCGCACTTCACAGCCGTTGCCTGCCCAGTTGGTGGGCATGCAATGGGATGCACCTTTGCCTCACCGTGGTTTGCCTCTTTCTCCTGTTCGTTCTACCAATTCTACCTAGGTGGCGTCAGTTTTTGATTTGTAGCCTTCGCTTCATGCCGGTTTGACCTTACATCTGCGTTTGTTCTGCCTTGAAGGCCTGGGCTTCCCGGTCGTGTCGCGTTTTCTCGCTTTTCTGTTCGGCTTTCACCACGTATGAGAAAGCCTGCCAATGCTGGGCTTCGGCGGCGTGCCCACCATAGTGAAGCCGTGCTTCCCTCCACTTTTCACTCCGGACTTGTCCAAGTTGTGACCGTATGGATCCACCGCAATCCGCACCAGGCGTTGCGAACGCGAGACGTCATACAGAAGTACGAGCCAGGCAATTGTTGCTTGTTTTTTGTCAGCGTAAGTGCATCAACATTCTTCTGCTAGTCTCTTGAGCCCAAGACCAATCTGTTTTGCAGATGCAAAAGACAATCAGCGACTTGCACTTACCACTTCTGCGTGCTGCTTACTTTCCAACGACTGCCACGACATGCGAGGGAATCATCGGGACTCATTGGGGAAGTTGGTTGCTGAGGACAAGGTGGAGGTCATTGTCCACAACAAGGAGACCCATTGGGTGTACGGTCGCAAGGCTTCACACATGACCAACTGTGAAGATCTTGGATCTGCTTGATCGCTGAACCAATCAGGTGCAGAAAGGTACTCACAACGGTGCACCTCTCAGCAGAGTCTCAACGCTTTGCTTGTGACAGATGTTGGGTCGGTCTCTGAGTGCCTTGCCTCGTAGTTGCTTCCAGGCGAGGCTTTTCAAAACATGTTTCTTTTGCCCTTGTACCGACAAAGTCCTCTAGAAGCCCCAGGCAAGCGAGCAAAGGAAGAGGGCTGGTTCCCAGATTGGGTGTGAATCTTAAAGATTGCCTGATGTGACTTCGTATCCTTGGGCAGCCCTGCGATGACTCAGGCCGTCAAGCCCATCAGGAAGACTGACTGGTACCAGCACTGCTTGGAGGTGGGAGTTCTTGCCTGAATGCTGGCCCGAGGCCTCCACGAGTCACTCCCAAACTTCTGATGGCGCATCTGGCGCGTGAGTGTACGGCCACTGTGAGCCTGGCGGACGGAAACTCTTCAGGATAGTCTGGAGCTGCAGAACCTCAGCGACAGTGACAAGAAGTACGATTGGGAGAACACGCCGCAGTGGGGAAATCCGAGATCCTCGGTGGACTGCCGGGCTCACAACAACACATGCAGAAGCCGCTGTCCGTGTCGCAGTTTTACAGTGGGGTCGGGAAATGAAGTAGTAGCTGCAGTTTGAAAGATGGTCTCCGACTGCTGTACCTGTGTTGGCAGGACCTCGTCGATGTTTTCGTGGACGTGTTTGCTGTCCAATCAGGTAGACTCAGGCGGCTGCTGTGTCGTGGGTTTGGCTGCCGTTGGAGTTTGACTCTGACAATCTGCTGTCTCAATTAGAAGAACACCCACTGCGTGCTGGATGGGATGCGCCTGGGAGTGTTGCCTCATACTAGCAAGGGCTGAGCCAGCAACAGAGACCAGCGCCCGCAGATTAGCGGGAGAAAAGAACATCCGTGCGTGTGATATGATGATGACAATCAGATCTGCCGGATGGATTGAGTCCCAAGACAGCATCGTCTGGACCATGAATCTGTGTCTATTCGCTGTTGTCACATCGGCTTGCCTTCGATTCGATGGGGAAAGGAGCATAGTGTCCCTCAAGTTCTCCAAAGCCAACATATCTCGTAACCATCACAGCGCTTGAGTTTGGGTCTGCCAATGAAGTGTCGCCAGAGCTCATAAGTCCAAGCACTCCTTCGTGCCTTCGGGCACAGGTGGGATGGACTCTTCCACGCCGGCCGAAGCCTGCTCAACCAGCGCCGCCGATGCATACTTTGCGCGTCAGAGGGTGTGCTAGGTCCTGTACCGAACGCTGCAGTGGCTGCTGTCTAATGTTACAGTTGATCTTCGTTCATCCTGCTGTGCTGCTACCGATCTTTCAGATCATTCCAAGGCGCCTCTTTAGCATCACTCCGGATCTCGACAATCACGACGGAAAGGCCATTTGAGACCTGGGACTAGCCTGAGAATGTGGAATGCCATAATTTCACGGGCAGTTGGTGCATAAGGTTGCTCATTGCCGCCGTCCGTTTGCATGCAGGAGAAGGCGACAGATCAGTTTTTCAATAAGGCCAGGACCTCACCACAAACCAAACTAGGCACGCATGACGTGCTACTTGTGTGCATGGTTGCGGATTTCCTCCAAGTTTTGTCAGTGCAAGGGTGTCCAATACGCTCCATCAGCCGTCTCCAAGCCGTTTATGTAGCACGGTGTGTAATTGAAACAAAGGTAGGGCAGGGGAAAACTTGCCTTGCGAACATATCCAACCGGCTCATTACAGATGCGACACGAGAGAGCTTTTTGGCAGGGAGCTTGAGCTGGCTTCTGGTCGTTTCGTGCACCGAGCCAAGCAGCAGGAAGGACACTTGCAACGTGGAGCAAGGTTGGTGTCACAAGCAGCGCTGGTGATGCTGCTGTGCGGAGACGGGAGCGGTTCTTCTTGTCAGGGAGGACTGGAATTGCGAGTTTCCGCCCGTGCACGGCGCGGGAAACGCTAAGGATGATAGGAGGTTCAGAAGCAGAGAAAGGGACGAGAACAGCAAGAATTCAGGAGAACCAGTCTTCGGCGATCAGACTGGGGATGGATTCGGCCCAAACCCTCAGGTCTAATGAAGACCAGGAACTGTCGAGGATCCAGTTCCGGAAGCACCGCCTCTTGTTCACATGACATCTCGAAGCGGGTGTGTCTGTGTGTCGCTGGTCACCGAGCCTTCGACAGGGCAAAAGCAAAAACTCTCTCCTTTGCCTTCCGTGTGTGTTTGTGCCATCTGCGGCAAAGCTCGTGGCGAACCTCGGGCTCAGCCCGATCCTTGCCGACATAGTCACGGGACGGACTCCGGACAAGCTACCAGTTAGGATGGGAAGGCTGGTCATCTTCCTGTAACTGAGCATGTCCTTGCTGTGCATTTCTTCGTCGCAGTCATGTGTGTTATGTCATGCAGGTATAATGTACGACATCTGGATATCATGCACCATGAATAAGAGACGACCGATCTCCAGCTCATCATTCTTGGGTCTCGCTGCACCGACCAGTCTTGCGACATCGGAGTTGTTGACGTGCACCGTGCTGCCGTTTCGATAGTGTAGTCCTTTCGTCTTCACACTTCGTGCATCGCGGGTGCAGGGTGCCTTTGGCATCAGATCGGTTTGCGCAGACGGCTGTTGCATACGATACCAGAGGCAGATCGATCGTGAGATCGCTGATCGCAGCACCACTGGCCTCAGCGTGCAAAGCAATGGAGACAAGCCTTCAGCCTTCAGCCAGTGCCCAACGAGGGGTGTCAGCGTTCCCCTGTCTTTCTGCATGCGACTGTATGTAGTCGCTGGAAGGTCGTCCTTGAGTTTTTGGGCAAGACCGGGCTGCGTTTCAGAAGCAACAGACCATGGGCTCATGCGCCATAGTAAATCTCGCAACCCTCCTCCTACCGCAGTGTACAAGAGATTTGACGTGTCATGTAATTCGGCTGTAGGCTGGCCAGAGCCGCCAAAACTTCATGATCAGATTGAGCCCTACCAAGCCTGGAGCTACCAGGGTTACTTTGTAGAAGGCATGATTGAGCATTTGGATGATTGCGCTCGCCTTCTAGGCTGACTGGATGCTTGGACAACCGCACTTCCGTGCAACTTGTCACGCACATCGGATAGTTGCTGCTAGTACTTGTTCTGCTTGTACGGAAGTTCTGTCCACAATCCTGCTTCTCGCGATTGCGCGTGCTGTCTTTGAGCTTCTCGCAGCAATGTGGTGTCGGTCTTGCAAGACTCGTCGAACGTCCCCTCATGTGAGCGAGCGAACGCTCTAGCGGTTTCAGCACGTGATAAGGAAGAATGCTTTGATTGGCGGGTGGCACCAGCACTCCACTGCCCGCTGGACGACAAGGGCCAGAGGTCGGCAATGTATCGCGAAGCTGCGAGTGCAGTCATGAGAAAGCAGGCCAACAAAGCCAGCTCGAGCTTGGCTTGATGCTGCAGCCTCATTGTGAAACTTCGGATGCCAGAACTTTGGCTTTGCAGCTGGGTGCCGAACATGATACTTATCAGAGCATGCAGATGTTTTCAAATTGTTGCGTGCAAGCTTGGCAGATTTGACTCGGAAAGAAAATCCTGTCTGCTTTGTCTGCCCAGGATCACAAGTTTGATCCCAAGCAAAAAGTATCGATGGCGAGGAAACAGTTGAAACAGCGGGGGACCCTTTCTTGCCATGCCATGACTGTGGATTTTTCTGACTCTGCAGGGCATTGAAGCAAAACTCCGGCATCAAGGAAGGCCAGGGGGGCAGCTGGGCATGGGCTCCCGAATGTTCCCGGCGTGCAGCGCTGTTCGGCGACCTGCAAAGGCACGGCGCAAGCTGTCGACGCCACGCCTGTCATCGATCCTGTCCCAGTCTGTTTATGTGTGCACGACTTGTCATAAGGCAGAATGGAGTTGGCAGATGGTGCGAGCGGTGTGGCATGAGCTGATAAGGACTTACAGAAAACGGCCCGCTTGCAGATGTTTCGATCAGTGTCCACGGCTTGCAGCTGGTGCGAGATGATCTATGTGTGAAAGCGTGCGGGTGCTTGGCACAACAGCGAGGTCACACCTGCACGTGCCCGAAGATTTGAGGCCGGGTCCAGAAGAGGCCTGCACCAACCTTGTTAAGGTCAGCACCAATGTTTGCATCAAGACTGGGTTGCTAGCAGCGTTGAGCAGCGTTGATTGGTTCTGTTTCGCTTATGGGAACGCTGCTTCAGGATGGTGCTCTAGAAGAGAATCTCAAGACCTTCGTCCGCAGCGTGGGCCATCGCATCTCTGACAAGAAGCTCGATCGCTCCTCAAGGCGATGGGAGTCGCAGGGCAGTGTTGCAGAAAGCCACGCCAAAAAGTAATCTTTCTGGCGCAGAGAGGGCATGCTTTCAAAAGAACACGTGTGATGAGAGCAAGGGTCCTGGCGCGCTTGCGCGTTGGAGTGCCGCAGCACTTGATGAAGAGGGCCTCGTTCCCGGTAGAGCTTTGAGGGCAGCAGCAGGCGTTGTCTTGACAGCGAAATTGGAGGTGTGCATGTTTGACTCGGGTGCGTGCAATCCGCGCTTATGCCTGCTCAGGTCACGGAGGAGCATGCAGAGCTAACAGACGTGGATGGTAAAACACTGAGGCGGCACCGACATGCATTGTGCTTGTGCTCAGATTGTTCCAGAACTGGGAGTGCTTCTGCGTCGTCCGATCGGCCGTGAGCGGGGGGCGAAGAGTCGGGGGATGTCCTCCTTGGCTCGGGCAGAACGGCCTTTCGCAACGTAATCGACGGCGGCGACCAGGATCGGAAGTTTTGACCCTGAGCAGCTGAATACTTGGAGCAGGATGATTTGTCCAGTCATGCAGAATTTGAAGAGAGTGAGGTGCAGTTCCAGGTTCGTGCGACATGGTGCCACTTACTTAAAAGCCCTGCAGTTGACTGTATGGTGCCTAGCGGGTTGGGTGGCAGGAGAAAATAGCAGTCCTTGCGTGTCCATGCAAAACTGATGGGCGTTGCCGGCCAGGTTCACTTTGGAATTGACCGACAACGTTACCGTCAAGAAGGACTCCAGTTGTGCGACCTTGGTGTGAGTCTAGTTCAGTATAGCTCAGCCAGCAGCTAGATACTGGGGCAGTGTGACCGTGTATGACTATGACGTCTTCGCTTCATTTGCAGCCCCGGGCACAGGGCCTTGTGTCTAAGATCGTGGATTCCATGTGATGCTCCGGCAATAGACATTTCAGGCTGCATGGTTGCAGGTTTTTCAGTGTTTCTGGGGCACAGCTGCACTCTCTTCACCTCATGCTTGCATGGATGTGTCGAGCGCTTGGCGCCATCCAGTCAGCGATGGCACTCGGTTGCGCAATAAGCCGTGCACATTTCGATGCAAGCAATGCCCGCAAAGTCAACTCCGAGCAGACTGCTGGCACATGTAAGCAATGTACGGGGAGCCAGTGCGTCAGAGGACGGTAAGAAAATTGCCGACGTTCCTCCTGGTCAGAAGGTGCGATACGAGACAAAGGCCGGGAAGTGAAGCTCTGCACGAAGAGGGGCTCCCCTCCTGAGTTAAAGGCGGGACAGAGCACGGGAGCCGAGCGCTTAAGAGGGCCTGACGGGCTCTTGCTGTTGGCCCAACACACTACGTCTGAGAAAATGCTTTGCTTTCTGGAGGTCCTGAAGTTGCCAGGCAAGGACGTCACAGCCAAGGGCCCAGTTGAGTAGTCATGACTCCCCATCACACGCTCCCAAACGGCAGGTTCATTGCACAGTTGTACCGACAGCTGCTTGCAAAGGTGCGTGTAAGCGAGGATGATGACATTCGGCAGGCAACGGCGATTTACAGTGTTCACGAGGTTCGACCATCTCAGCGGTCAATATAGCAACTGGTGACTGGTGTGGCAGGTGAGATCTATGCGATCACTTGTCTGTTCGAAACCCTGTTCGTAAAACTGCCGGCATAAGCATCACGCGTGCACGTATTCAGGAATCACGAAGAAGGCTCGAACCGGCCATCAGTTTAAATGCAATGCAGCACTCACGAGCTTGTCGTGGAACCTGTCCTTGCTGCAGTCAACATCAGATCCGGGCATGCGCACAGGAACTTGTAGATCTGCAGCTAAGCAATGCTGAGTGGCGGTCTAGCGGGCGGAAGTCAATGCATTACACATGTTGGCACTGCTCAGACAGACAGACAGACAGGTGTTGGGACTGTTCCGCACATCGAATGATGCAGCGGGTACTGTGCCAGCCTCAGTGCTGTGCTCCTTGTTGGAACGGTGAGGGCCCCTCGTTTCATCCGCAGGACAAAAAGCCCAAAAAAAGTGGCCATGCTGACGAGCATGACCAGGAGAGAGTTAGTACGTGTGTCCTGTGGTGTCCAACCCATCCCATTGAGTCTTTGAAGCTTTGACATCTCTGCTTCGGTGCAGTTGAGGACTCCGGGGGGGCTTTTCTGCTTGTGAAGTTCAAAGCTCCTGGAGTGGCAAGAGCCTCGAAGCATGAACATGAGAATGGGCCAGAATGCGATTCTCGAGCAGCTTCGAGCAAGCATCTTCGAAGCAGGTGTATTGGGCCCCGCCCGAGAAGCAGGCTATTTGGGAGGAGACAGCAGCATCTTGACCGTACGTGTGCAAACACCGCTTCGGCTGTCAGACATGTTCGAGGTGCAATTCGAACCTTGCCGGGCTAGTTGCTGCAACTGTCTCTGCCACTCCTGCGACTTGTCGTTCGAGTCTCTGTGGGGCAGGAGCCTGGCGCACTGCTTTTCCTTGTCAAGGTGGAGCGACGAGAACTTCGGAGACATCTAGCTCATGATTTGTGCGAGCCTAGGTGGATGCCACGGGAGAGATTGTACCGGTTCGTGTCCCGTCTTTCGTGCTGCCGACTTGTTTGTGAACTCAACTGGGCCGGAAATCGATCTCCGGCATGCATCGGCAGGACCTGCGCTTTGAGCACGAGACGGCCTGGTATCCGGCAAGGAGCTCAGAAAGAGGGCTCTCAGATGTACTATCGCAGGATCCGAAGGCGAAGGTCTGGACTGCGGCCCGATCGTTTGTTCACGAGCTTTTTCCAGTCCTGAAGACAACGTTTGTGTGGGTTTCTGCAACAGGGCATCTGTGTATAAAGCTCTTCTCCACGACCCCGCTGTCTGCGAAGCTAGATGCAGTGCTGCATCACCTCTGGCTCAGTTTTTTTTTTGCGTATTGCGTGGACATCGACACTAGGCACCCGCTTTACGTGAGATGAGAGATGTAAGGGCTACACGCTGAGAACACTAGCAAAGGAAAGCAGACAATGCAGAAATGCTACAGTCACGACGTTTGCTTCAGTGGAGTTGAGTTGTACGCCGGAGGCTCCCAGTCTAAAGATACTGGTCCGAATCCGACGAATATCGCTCGGTTGACTGTCAGGTCAAAACTCTCGCTCCCGACAACGGATTCAGCGACTGAGCTGCACTCTGAAGCTGTTCGATTTCAATTCCTTGCGATGCGCGTTTGGGCCTGGGCCCTGTTTCTCAGGCAAAGAGATGTTGAACAAGGTGAAGCCGGCTAAGGCGAAGGAGCTCCACACTGAGCATCTCAGCTGAAAAGTTGCAGCCTTTCGGATCCTGCAGTGCCTTGCGAGAGCACCGTAGTTGCCGTGCTCGTGGAGTGTGATCCTTCCAAGAAGCTCACAAGGCGAAATGCGAATTCATGTTGTAGGCTGCTCTGGAGCCAGGCCAGTGGCAAATCGTTTGAATCAGGTGGACAAGAAGGATTGAACGTGTGGCTGCTTGTTGACGCAGCTTGCAAACGCTTGCAAGCTGGCTTTGCAGGACGTCGATGATGACCCTGAACCAGACGGGCACTCAGTTCCCGTCTTCGCTGCGCCCTTAGACGCGCTTCTTCACATGTCCCCGTTGGCAATCATTTTTCGCACATCGCATCAGGTCACCAAGAACGCCTTCTGTTGCCGAATAAAGCAGCGACCGGGACTTCAGCACTTTGACAGGCTGAGGACCCGGCAGCACCAATCGTTATGGTTTACCATTTTACCTTCTTGGATCAGTTTTAATGACAGGACCAAGAATTGGTTCAAAACAAGCCTTTGTAAGGTCTTTCCCGAGGCATGGCATGTTCCCGAGCATGGTTTCTGGACTTGTCGTTTGACGAGCCGAAGGGGTTCTGTTTGCCCCTGCGAGACTTTCAGGTGGACAACATTTTCCTGGCCGAGTCCCCCGACTACAGTCAGGCACACGCTGCAAGGCCTCCGCGCGAACTCACGGACCGGAATTGCATCTCAGTTCCCAAGTAACATGTCTTCAGTTGGTCTCCGATGTATTCCACGACAAACTCGTCTCACAAGCTGCAACAAGACGTGCGGCAAGACCTGTTACAGAGCTGAGCATTGATCTAAAGGTCCTTGTGTGGGGATTATACACAACGGTTTGAACATGTGAAATAGAGTGTCCGCGAAAGATCCGCGATGGGTCCGCGAAAGGAAAACAATAATCCGCGAAAGT